GTTCAGCTGCAATTTGGTGATGGTGTGGGCCGGGGAGGGTTGGCTGCTTTGTCACTCTTGGTGGTTGGTGAGCACTGGGAGTCGGCTGAGTTCAGAGAAACGTCCCTCCTGCTGAAGAAATGTTTTCCAGAATGTTTTAACTGTGGTATTAATGACTGTTTCAGTGCAGTTTTTTTGTGCTTAGAGTGGACAGATTGCTGCGTCGTAGGAGCCGTATCACTCTGAGATTGCTGGAGGACCAGGAGCTGCTGGAGTGTGATGATTCAACTCGGAGATGACTGGCACGGCCCCAGAGAACATCCACCTCAAGTGTGATGTCGTTTATGTTTTGCAGCTCGTAGCAGTGGAATTACTGGGTGCAGCCACACACTTAAATTTACTGCACACGTTTTCCTCGTTAAGAGTATTCTGAATGTGTTTCATGGGGGAGACATGAGGGCAAGAGCATAACCATCATTCACCTGCCTCCTTGCATTTCCCAAGTAAACCATCCTTTTATTTCAGGTCATATTTCCATGTAGGAGTCACATCTAATATGCATTAGCATCCTTGTGGGCTGCAGTGTGTGGGAATTGAACCACAGGCTTGGCAGTTGGAGAAACCCATGCTGTTACCATGCAGCACTTACTGCCTGCAGAGGGGTGTGCTGCCTCCTGTCATGCTGCCGTTGGGTTTAGTCCTCTTACAAACAAGATAAATGTTCTCAGCAAAACTTGGCTGCCTTCCTCCAGTTGGTAACGTTACGCTGAAGGCACTAATAGAATCAAAGAGTCATTGAGGTTGGAAAAGACCTCTAAGATCAGCTAACCTTCCACCTACTACCAATCTTGCCCACTAGCCATGTCCCTCAGTGCTGTATCTCCATGTTTCTTGAAATGACGTACCTGTTGACTGGAGGAGCCCTGAGGGAATGGCACAAAGCCCTGATGTCCCAGAGCCACCCAGCAGAGCTAGTGTTGGGCTGTGCTGGGATCAGGCTGTCCCAATCAGTCCGGTGTCACTTCCTGAGACGACGAGCTCGTTTCTGTCTTTGAGATCATAGGTCTGCCTGATGAAAGTAAATGGGTAGAAATAATGGGCTTAGGTTTTTGTAAGACACTGAACTCTATATTACATGATATCCTGACTGATTAATGAGATCTAAGCATAATCGATGGAGCGCACATTTAAGTGGATTAAGAAATCACTAACTGGCAGATCTCAAAGAATAGTCATTAGGGAGTAATCAGCAAGTGATGGTATTTTTAGAGTAAATGCACTGGCCTGGGTGCTTAGCCTGATGCTCTTCAGTGCTCCCATGACTCATTTAGAAGTTCTTTAAAAAAAAATAATAATCAAAAAAATCGCTGTTAATAATCTTTGCTGATGGCACAAAACTGCCTAACAGTTAAGAAGAGTCAAGGCGTATGCAGAATGACTTGAGGGTCTGGGTAATTTCTGAACCACAGTGTTTTAAAACTCTGGAAAGTGGGTGCAGCCCATATCCCTTCTTCACAGAAGTGGAACTGCATCTTGGCAAATGGAATGGTTGGAATGCTGCAGCAGAAGCTTTCTGTAGAGAAACCAACGCTTCCCTGTGTGCGTGAGGCAAGGAGCTGGAGCTGAGGTGATGGTTTTTCTCTACTAGTGCTAGTGTATCCAATCCTGGAGTCTTGCACACATCCTGGTGTGTAGACTTCATAGAAATCCTGCTGGAAGATTGGATCAGTTGTGGAGGAACTTGACAGGCATGGGCGATACACGCAGGAAGAGCCTTAGTCCAACTCCACCATGAGGGACTGATAGCACAAGAGCTATGGGTACAGGTACATATAACGTGAGTACAGGTTGCATATTAGGAAGAATTTCTTCTCTCAAACAGCAGTTGAGCATTGGTACAGGCTGCGCAGGGAGGTGGTGGAATTCACCATCTCTGGAGGCGTTCAAGGAAAGGACAGATGAAGCACATAGGGACGTGATTTAATGGGCAGTATTGGTGGATGGGTAGACTTGATGATCTTAGAGGTCTTTTCCATCCTTAATGATTCTATGATTGCATTATTTTTCCTTTCCTGATTGCTTTCAGGAGTGTGGGAGGCTGAGAGTTTTGGCCTCATGCATGCCATAATTGACAGGCCAGGCAAGGAGCAGAGCTTGCTGTCGCCTCTCTGAAGGCTGCTTTTCAGTTGTCTTTGAGGCACACAATGCGTGTGTTGTAAAAGAAATCTCATCAAATGCAGAATGGTTTTGTAATAAGTTTTTCAAATTGGTTGCTGCTACAGTGTAACCTTTAGACTACTGGTATTTAACCTTGTATATCACTCGTAGGTTTTGAATGAATTTAGCTTAATAAAGGTGCCTTATTAAATTACTAGGGTTTCTTTTTTTTTTTAAGTCACTAGAAATAGGCATACTAGGAAATAGCTTGAGGTTGTTTCATCTAATTGGCTGCCAGTGGAGTGTATTGTGGCTCAGAAGCATAGATGCAAGCATTTATTTTTATGCAGTAATCAGGCAACGTGATGTTATGAAGTTCCAAGTTGAGGATATCAGGCATTGGAATGCACTTGGTAGTAAAATTTCTTCTGCTGTTGCTTATGCCCTGGACTTCCATCTGAGATGGTCATTGCCCCACGTTGTACTACCATAGATGTCACTACTGGAACTTGGCCTTTTTAATGAAGTGGTTAATAGGTGGCAAACCATTGGTACAGACCTTGAAAAACATCATGCTGGTGTTGGTTGCTAAATGCCACAATTCCAGGTAGGATCTGAGCTCAGGATCTGGCATTTTAGACAGCTTTACTTAAGAATCCATAATCTGAAAAAGAAAGGTACCGACTTCAACTGAGCAGCAAAATTAAAGATTATTTATGTCCTTAAAAAAAAGAAGAAAAAAGAAAAAAGACAGTCTGCCCCAAATTCTTGGTCAAAGCAGGTGGAATTTTCCCTGTGTACTACGTGCCTAATTGAAATGTCAGTTCTCTGGAGTGACCAGCCATCTTTCAGCATTTTGAAGCACTTCCCATTTCCATAAGTGCCTTCTGTAATTACTTGCTTGTTGATGAGTCCTGGTTAGAAGAGACAATCACTGTGATAACTCTATTGGGAACGTTGTTGTCTTCTCAAGTGCAACTGTGTGTTAATGAAGTCCGGATTTATACTGTGTGTGTGACATAGAATCACAGGATGGTTTGGGTGGAAGGGAGCTGAAGGCCGCCTGGTGCCGCTCCCTGCAGCGCACAGGGACACCCACAGCTCAGCAGTGCTCACAGCCCCGTCCAGCCTGACCTTGGCTGTCTGCAGGGACGGGGCACCACCGCCTCTCTGGGCAACCTGTGCCAGCGCCTCACCGCCCTCACTGCCAAACCTTCTTCCTCAGCTCCAGCCTCAAACTCTCCTCCCCATCCCTACAGTGTGCAAATCCAAGTGGTGTAGATTCACTTTGCTTCTTTCATTTGAGTAATGGAGGCTGTGGGGTGAGAAGCTGGAATGGAAGGGCTCGGCTCTTGTAGTTTTGGGAGAGCCTACTTAGTTTGCAGTTCATTCTCAGTACAACGAGCCTTCAGTGTATTCCTCTTGATTGCCATAAGTAATTGACAGCTGTTAAGCATCTCATTAGAAATAGGGAAATTTGTCTCATTGGAGCAGCAGAAGAGGCCATGCAAGATGGCCTCCATTTTCCCCTGTAAACAGGGCTCAGAAGCTTTTCTCCTCTTTCATAGAATCATGATGGTTGGGAAAGACCTCTAAGAGCATCTCATCCAACCAGCCTTGTTCTGGCATTAGCCCTTAGTTACCTTAGCATCACCCACTGGGGGTCAGCTTGTGTTTAAGGCATCCTTCAGCCTCGTGTTTCCACTGGAGCTGGGACTCTGCAGCTCACACACATCCGTGACACCGTAACCCGTGTGCAGACACTGCTTGGTTTCGTGGCCACAGGAAGCGTCTGTAATGGGATTCGTTTGTAAAATGTTTGTGGTGCATCGTCTCAGGAGAGGATTTACTGGTGTAGCTTATTCCATTACTGAAAATTAGGGGAGTTTAAATTGGTCAAATCCTGACTTGCATTTTTTTTTCCTAATCTCTGTTATTCCATAGGAAGCACGTTAATGAGTTAAACACAATTAATAAAATACAGCAAGCTGATAGTTTTGGTAGCAGTGAACTCTCAAAGGAAAGAGAAATGTTTGAATTGTTTCAACCTTTATGCATACTGATCTATTTTTTGCCTTCCTTCATTTCTTACAGTTGAGTAAATTCCTGAAAGATACACACGGCCTAATGGCATCTGTAGCACTGATAACATTGATAGCAGTTTAGCTACAGCTCAGATTGCATTCTTAATCTGCTTTTCAGTTATAGGAGGCAATGAATTTTTTAATCACGGGCTCCGGTGTGTTGTGGTTGTTTTTGTGGGTTTTATTTTTCCTGCAGGGTTTTGCTACAGCGTGTTTGAGCTGGCTGCCTCACTGTGAATGCTTTAATTCTCTGTGTTTATTTTAGGATTTAGAAGAGCTTCATTTCGACTAACGAAAATCTTGGGTTGTTCAAACAAAAGCAGCGGTGGCTGTGATGCCTTTTTGTGTTTCTAACAAGCATCTCTTGTAAAGCCCCGACGTATTAATATGCGTGGACACAAGGTGTTGTCATACAGTAATATATGATACACGATAAAACATATCAATTCCGAGCACCGCAGATATCACCGGTTTCACCTTAGCATGAAGGCAAATGAGTTCCTTTTAGCTTGAGTGAGTTCAGAGATAAACTCTGGTGCAGCAAAATGCCTTTCCTGGGGAACGGTGGTGCTCAAGTCAGTGCAGATCTCCTATCTGCTCACGTTTCCCATTGCTCATCACTCCGTCTTGAAGCAAATAGCAAGTTCACGTTCTGATTAGACGAGTGGCATAAAGGGGGCCAAAAGGAGCAGTGGTGATGACTGTCTTTTGGTGTTGGGTGCGTAGAAATGGGATTCTGTCTGACGAGGAAATTTATGAAATGATGTTTTTGTCACGCAGATAAGCCTCAAGTGCGGGTTTCTCAGAATTACCCAGTGCAAGGCCTCACGAGAGAAGGGGAGCCGCTCGAACTGACGTGCGCAGCTTTTGGAAAACCACAGTAAGTTGGGAACTGCCCAAGGATGCACCAGGCAATGATGGAGCTGTGCCCCAGAAACATGCTGGGCTTTTTCGGCCTCCTTTGCTCTTGCAGAAATTGAATACGCCATTCTCTGCTGCGAAGACGATGCAACAGAATGGAAGAGTGGAGAGATCCTTTCTGCACCAGCATTCGTGCTGCCCAGTCATAGGTTCCCAGAATGGTTTGGGTTGGAAGGGAGCTGAAGGCCGCCTGGTGCCGCTCCCTGCAGCGCACAGGGACACCCACAGCTCAGCAGTGCTCACAGCCCCGTCCAGCCTGACCTTGGCTGTCTGCAGGGACGGGGCACCACCGCCTCTCTGGACAACTTCTCCCACAGATCTAAATTAATTCAAATGAAGACATCTATTTTGATTTGCATTTATTCCTATGTATATATATATATAAAAGAGACTGAGGAACTCTTGCTGTTAGAGCTCCCAGGAGAGGAGCAAGCCCTCTGGTGCAGAAAGGACAGGCAGTAGCACAGGTACTGTGCAGCCATACATCTCTTCCCCAGGGAATGGCGTAGGTGGCAATTGGTTGCAATTAATCTGCAAAAGCAAGGTCAGTGGCCTGTGTGTTGAATCCTAATAAGGTGCAAGTATGCAGAAGTATGAATGGCCCAAAGAATTGAGCACTTGTAAAAGTGGAATGGATCTGTAAGGTAAGGCAATCTGTCTTTCTGTTTGTATTGACTATATGATAATTCTCGATTTTTGGTGACCTGTGTTGTTTCTATGAAATGCAAGTTTTATCTTTTCTCCTTCTGCCATGCCCTTGAGGCTTTCTTATATTGTTTAAGAGATTTATGCATCAGGAAATTCCTGACGAGGGAGGGTACATTTTTTTCCACACTTCCATTGTTGTTCTAATTTCAATTTCGTTGACTTTTTTTGTTTGTTGTTTTTAATACTTCCTCTTCCACTTGGATTTATGGCTGTCAAGTATTTACTATCCTTTTTTATTTTCATCATGTCCATGAGATTTCTGCAAACATCCCTGAAATCTGTCAGCGTCTCCTTGGTAGCGTGCCCAGAACTGAAGAGTACTGCAGGTGTAGTCTAACTTGAAGTCATCCAGTTTGACAGTTCTGCTTCTGTGGGCAGGGACAGGAAGGGTCTATGCAGCTCAGAAGCAAGAAGGCTTGTGATACTGTCATCCTCCACAGTAGTCTCCTACCTCACCTAGGTGATTTTGTTTATTCCTCCTTCCCTGTACTTTAGAGGCTGGCACATCCCCCTATTCCCCGTTCAGAATCTGTCAAAGCCCCCTTGCATTTCTCCTCTCATGGGTAACAGCAGTTCCTCCCATTTGCTATCATCTGGGAATTTGATGAATAGGCTTCCTTACTTTTTTTTTGTTTGTTTTTTTTTTTGTTTTTCAGGCTATGAATAAGGCATACACACATTAACTAAGACAGACACCTCTCCCAGGCGCTATGCCACTTAATGTTATGGTGATGCTAGTAATGTGCTAGGAATTTACTTATGTAGTCATTTCACCCGTGTCTCTCGAAGCATAAGAAAATATACAGTAAAAAAATACTGTGTTTAGCTCTTTGCAGCAGTTTAGGATGAACAGAGATGTTTCTTCAGTTAGACAAAAGCATTTCTCTGCAATATTTTGCATCATGAACATTAGGCTAGCGGGGAAGCTCAGGGAAAAACAAAGCCAGAATGTAGAAATTTCTCTTTTATTATTGCCCAAGATAAGACAGTCAGAAGGAAAAACACAAGAAAACTCAATGACAAAAGTAGGAAGATGGTGAAACTGTCACTTCTAGGATATTCAGTTCTTAGAGAAACAGGCTGCTGTGTAGCACATACAGCGTGTGACGCCTTGGGGCTCCAAAATTGCTGATAGCTCTTGGAAAATGGTAGCTAGGAGCATCAGAAACCTTTCCCCTAACACTGAGGTAGAACTGCAGCTACAGCTCTCATGAGAGCTGCTGTTGCACGGTTATGGGTGTATTAGTGGTGTGCTCTGCAGTGAGTGCCCATCCTGCCACGGGTGGCAGTTGTAGGACCATAGAAGGGCTTAGGCTGGAGGGGGACTTTATCATTTTTGTTCCAAGCCCCAGCCATGGGCAGGCTTGCTACCCACTGAATCAGGCTGCCCAGAGCCCCATCTACTCTGGCCTTGAGTGCCTCCAGGGATGGAGCAAAGCAAGGAAGAGCACGCCAAGCCTTTGTCTGAAATCAGATGTCAGTTTTCTACGAGGCAGCTGAGAACCGAAGGGTTTTATTGAATTTTGCAGCCATTCCAGTCGAGTGGCTGGGATGCTGAGAGTTGAAGAGCTTTGACTTCACTACAGCAGTCTGCCATAAGCCTGAGCTCTTTTGGTACCTTCAACAGCACTAGCTCCCAGCAAAATACAACCTGCAGACTTTGCTTTTGGAAATAGGCAGTCTGAAGAATGTGTTATTGTTTAAACCTCCCCTTATTCAGAGCTCAGTGTTTAGTCATTCTGAAAGCTTCTCTATGTTTTTCTTGCTGGTATGGGCTGTCTCTGAGGAGTAGCTGATCTGCCCTTACTGCTGTTCAAAGATTTTCATAGTAATAATAATAATAATAATAACAACTCCCCAGGCCCTGCAGCATTTGTTTTCCTTACTGGCTTTACCAGCTCTAACAAAACATGCTAATTTCATTCCCTAAATTATCCAAACGTGATGCTCATTTTGGTTCCATTAAGTAAAAGGATGCAGGAAGCAGGCTGCCAATGGGAGAAGCAGAACTGGGGAGAGAAGAAAGGTGCTCCTGTTTGCTAGCAGCTAAAATGCTATCACTGAGCAGCAGAGCCAAAATTGAAGTAAATAAGTCTATCACGTCTCTTTGTGAAATGGTTCAAACTTGATGCAAATGTACTTGTTCTGTCACATGTCCAGATCTGCACTCAGCACCCTATGGATGCACATGTAGTCCATAGGCCTCAAAGATTTCAGATGTACTGATTAAGCGAATGATTAACCACTAATGAACTTTCTTCCTGCTTGCATTAGTGTCTTCAGAAAATTTAAGGTCTGGATACAGTTTCCTGTGGGGTTAATATAAATTTAAATTGAGGAAGCCCGACAGCATCTGGGCTTGAGTAGTGCAAAAAAGCATGTGTTATTTCTTTACAGTTTTTCTTGGTTTTGGGCTTTCTGTCTGTGGATGAACTATTGAAGATGCCATCTTTACCATAGGAAAATAGTAATGTGCTTATTTCTTTTTCTCCCTCCTCTGTAGGCCTACGGACATGAGGTGGTTAAGAGTAGATGATGAGATGCCTCAACACGTTGTAGTGTCTGGTTCAAACCTTCTCATTAGTAACCTAAACAAAACAGATAATGGTACATACCGCTGTGAGGCTTCAAACGCGGTGGGGAAATCACATGCGGATTACATGCTGTTTGTATACGGTACGTGAGAACAACCACCGTTCTTCTAGACTCATTTACACGTAATTGCAACATGCTGCTCTCGGAAAGCTTTGAAAGAAGTTAACTTTTTTTTTTTGCTTCCTGGAAGGATGACAGATAGCTCCCAACACACCTACCAGATACCGGGGTGGGCTAGGGGCTGGAAAAGCATTTCTTTTGCTTCTGTGACTCTCGGTGTTGTGCGTCAGGTGCAGAGCCATTCGCTTCCTTTCCCTGGAGCTGTTGTTGGGGGCTCACCGAGGCACGTGCTGTCAGATGAGGCCTGAAACAAAGCTGGAACAGAGGCATGGGGAGAACTGGGAAGTTCTCTAGCCTGGCAGGACTTCTCCGATGATTCCTTTTTCCTTTTTGTAATACCTTTTTTCAGTGTCTTCAGGGTTGGTTTTTTCCCCCAGTCTTTTATTAGCGAGTTAAATGACTGAAGAGTCAGCCAGCATCCCCCAGTAATTGCAAACCAGTAAATAAATGGGAGGAATGAGATGTCCTAAGCCTATCCGTGGCTGCTGAGCAGACACTAAAACATGTCTCAGCCTCTCTTTAAAGTGCTATTAAGTACCTACTTTAATTCCTCAGTTCCTCTACATTATTTTGCCATTGCTCTAAACCTTGTTGTACTCCTGTCACGAGGTGTTGCATATAATGGAGATTCAGAGGCACTCGAAGAGTGATCCCCTACTTTAATTACAAAGAATTCCCCTGGGCTGCATATGTGAACCTTAGCTGTTAGAGTGGTTACTGAATGGTGGAGCTGAGCTTGTGGTGGGTATTGCCTGATATTCGGATGGGACAGTAACATGCTTTGGTTTGAAGTTCATGCTGTGCAACAGCTTCTGGAAGCTCTGCAGCCTAAATTCTCTTGTATTCTCTCTGATGCCAGTAATTAGTGCGGAACCCAGCATCACCACTGGCATGGGACCAGTTGTAGGTCCAGTTTTAGAAACCTGCCCAGAGATCGAAGCCTATATCAAAGCTAATAGCTCTGTGCTGAAATTGAACTCCTATACTCCAGCATGCAGGTAGTTTTCTGGTGTCTGTAGCTCTGAAAGACTCCAGTGTGCAGTGCTTCCCCTCTCTGAGAGTTAAGTTCCAAATAACAGTAAAGATGGTGCCGTTCCCAGGGGGCATTAACTTGTGGACTGCAGAGTTCAGCTATCCATCAGATGCTGTAGCACGTAGGAAGGCTTCTCGTGGTTTGTCAGGAACTTACAGCCAAGTAATGGTTTCTCATCCCACCACATCCTGTTGCTGTATGTTTGGCTGTGCCCCGCTACGACTCAGCACCCTAGACAACATAAAGAACTCCTTCAGCCCTGACTTTAGATGGGAGAAATCCAGAGCTGCTGTTGTAACGGAAGTGATTGGGCTGTGATCATCATCTGAAGCCCTCTAGCATAGAACCTTAAGGAAACCAAAAGGAATCCAGTATTGCTGTGGTGAGCTTGGAGAGGAGCTGCTGGTCTCCCTCCACGTGTCAATGGAAAGCATGCACTTCTCCAGACTTTGCTGCATTTGGCACCTCTCCCCCCTGGAAGACAGTGAATAATATATAGGCTATGGAGTCTGTATACCTCTGTTGGAGTAGTGTGAAAGCCAGCAGGAAGATGTGCTCACTGCTTGCCCCCTGGGACTCAGCCCCCAGCTCCCATCCCCTTTGTGGGGGATGCACTCCAGGACAGGTAGGGCTGATTTAGTCTCCACACCAAACGAACGCACCTACATTTCAATGGTATCAAGTGCAAATGATCGCCAGCAGCCTGGGCTTGCAAAAGAGCGGCTGCTGATCAGTGCTTTGCACACCTTCCTCTGTTGCACACGTGGTGTAAGGATATCTAATTGCATTGACACACATTCCTTTCACGCTTTTCCTCCCTATGGGCAGCTGCATCTTCTAGAAGCTTCTGGCACAATTAGCACACAATCATTTCTTGCATTTATTAAGGGAGAGCCTGCCACACAGCATCGTCCCAAGTGCAGTTTGGGAGATGAGCTGGGTTCAGCCACCGCTGCTGGCTTGCTGGAAGGGCAGGGTGATTCTTCCCTCAATCCTATGGAGACGTGACAGCATCTTGGGCAGAAGAGTGAGAAGGTTCTCCAGCGTAAGCATAGGGACTGGGTGACTTGGAACGTAGGAGCAGGACAAAATGGTTCTCAGCATATATGGCCAATGTCTTTAGCTGTCTCCACACTGGAGTGAATTCCAAGGTAATGTCTCTTAACTTTCAGGAAGTTGTGCAGAATACAATAAAGGTGCAGCACATAATTAAAGTTCAGATGTATTAATTAGGGAATCTGAGAGCTTTCTTGGAGATAAAAGAGTAGCAGATGTGTTAGTGATGGAAAGCTGACGTGCTATAGAGAAAACCTAAAATCAAAAGCCTATGAAATGTTTCATGCTCTATTATTGCGGAACGAATCCGTAGTTCAAAGTCTTCCCAACTACTTAGCACATTCAGTTTGATCATCTGGGCATTGATACATATTTTTTTCTTTCACATCTTCTCATATCTTCCTCCTCCTGCCCAATAGTTTTGATGAGGATGTGCCCACGTACGTAATATAACTATGGGAAGAGCGGCAGCATTTGATTCTGAGCAGGTCAAGTGTCTGTGAGAAGTGGTTATTAGTTACAAAGAGAAGCATTTCCGTATCTGTGTTTCTCATTAACAGTGCGCTACGAGCCAAAACAAGAGTGTTAAAATAAAACTGTCAGAGAAATACTGACATTTTTATGAAAAGATCTCGGTGAAATGGATATTCAGTAATGATGTTTTCATTTCTTTGTATTTATTACTATCTTTGAAGTAGTTTTTAACATCCTGCTGACGTGTATTCATAGAGGAAGAATAGAGTGAAGTTAACAGCCCTGGAAAAAAAAGTGAGATATATTCGTGTGCTGTTGATATTTAGTCTGTTAAGCACAGCAGGGCCCCTCACACAAACCTCCCACCTGGATTTCAGATGTATATGTAGACAAACAACAAAGCACCACTGTGTCTTTCTTTGTACATGTAAACTGTTCTTTTTTGTTGTGGAAAGTGTGCAGTTTATTTTTCTTACAGCTTTCCCATTCCATTTTTTCTCTCTCTCTCATTGACTAATTTATGCTGGGTTTTATTTGTTTTTTGTTTTTTGTTTTATTTTGTTGAGCGTTGTAAGAGGCAAAAAGGGGGAGAGTTTCTGGGCCAGGTTCTCCATCTGGACTGTCCACACGTAGCTCCCTCGATGGGGATCGAGCTGGAGGTGACGTCCAGCTGCTGAGGATCTGGCCCTTGGCCTTTAAAGCCAGCTGGAAGTTCCCCACCTGGTTTTAGAGGAGGAAGGGCACCCAAGAGCCATGCTGCTTCTTAGCGTCCTTGTTTTTTCTCTGATCATTATTGATCGCTGTTGTGTTCTGCTTGTTTTTTCTTAATTTGCTTTTTTATTATTTTCCTTTTTATATTTTATCCAGATCCCCCCACAACTATCCCTCCTCCCACAACAACCACCACCACTACCACCACCATCCCTACCACCATCACAGGTATGGTACCTTCATAACCATTGGAAATGTCCTGAATGTTTATTGTCTTTTATGTATGTAAGCAGAGCTTGAAGCCTGGGGAAAAACAACAAACCAATCACTTGATTTCCATTTTATTTTTTTTTTTCTCAAATGCACCCACTGTGTGAGTCCTAATCTGGCAGTTGAAGAAGTTGGGGCATCTTGACTGCAGGTGTTTCTGAAGCATGGAAATTGCCATGTCAGAAAGAGCTTTTGATTCAGTTACTGGTGGCTCATACTGGGTACTTCCAAATGCAGGATGTAAACAGCCTTAGAACTAGGTTTGTACTTGGAATCGTTTTACCCTCTACCCCATCAGTACCAATTTCTGAGCACTTAATTACTTGGAAGCGTAAAGTATGGTCTTGAGTGATTTAATTCACCTAATGTGACTGGAGATGCTTTCTGTCATGCATCGGTGTTTCGTCTATTTCTGTATTAAGCTGCGTTCCTCGCTCTCCCACAAAAAATGAATCCCACCAGGCATTTTTTATTGAGTCAAAAAGTCTCTGTCGGAGCCTTTTTGAGGAGCTGGCTTTAAGAACGTTGAGTTTTTTGCCTGTCTGGTAAGAAAAGATGAACAAAACCAACCAGCTGATCACCAAACCCCTCTATTTTACACACATCCATCATTCTTCCTCACTAGACCCGATTCTCTCCACCCATAACCAAAGCCCTTTCTTATTTTGCTGCATTCATTCGCATCGCCATTTTTGTTTTCCCTGATGTTTTCTATTTCAACTGCTGCTTTTGCTTTTGCTTTTTTATTTATTTGTTTCTTGAGGTAGAAGTGACAAGCAGAAGGTGAGAATGGGCCGTTGAGTAGCGAATGGCATAACATTTATTGTTGCTGTAAACCCTTTGTAAATACCTTCGCATTTATCTGCTTTGATGACTTTGACTCTAACAGTGCTGTTCAGGGCAACTTGTGGCTTTTTTTCCTTCCTGAGGTTTTTACAACCAAATCAGGCTCCACTAGCATGGACAAGCAAGTCTTCCAATGTGCCTTAATACGCGCTGTCTGTGCGCTGTCTTTCATATGTCATTGTGTTGTCTGGACTTTGCCATTTTCTGTCTTCCTCTTTCCAGGTGGTTATTAATAATCCCAAACTCCAGCACCCAGGGTTCGGATGCTTGAGGACGCTTCCCCATTTTATGATGTAGTCACTTTATTTCAGTTCTCTGTTTTAAATCTCTTAACCAATTTTCGTTTCAGAATAGGCTTCAAACTTTATTATTTCAAAGTCTCCCTAAAAGCCCTTTGCAGAGAAAACTTGGTCCAGTGTGTCTCAGTGCAAACCAACATGCGTTCAGTTTTCTTTTGTTTTGCAGTAATTTGTGAATTATAGAAGGCTAAAAGGAAGAATCTGTCCTGATGCTTGATTGACCCCATTATGTTTATGTCAGTGCCTGCTAATATTAACCATTGTCCTTTTCCCTGGAACTGAATTACAGTCAGCCTGTCATTTCAGGGATCACCTGAGGACTGTAACAGTGCATGCCAACCTCACCTGCAATTTCAAACTCCGTAGCAGTGGTTGTTAATAATAAACAGCAGTGTTGTTGCTTGCTCTTCTGCTGTAATCACTGCCTTAAAATGTGAGGAAATTCCGTTTTCTCTTTGAATAATTCTCACTCTTTCTTCTCTAGCCTGCTTCCCCATCTAATGTTTCTCATCCAGCATTCAAACCTTAGCCCTCCTAACATAAACTGAGCTCGCGGTCCTTCTTCAGACATGTGAGGATCACGGGATTCCCTCAGCCCTTGAGGAGCTGCCAGCATGTTGCTCCCCTGTGCTGGGGGGGTGAGTTGTCATCACCTCACATCTCCCAGCCATCAGACAACCTGGACATGTGCCTCCACGGAGGCTGAAGCCTCTCTAACCCTGTCGAGCTTAGCAGCGTGGGTTCTGGTTCCCAAAAAGAATTGGCTCCATGTTAACCACGGTCTTTCAGGAAGCGAGGGCCTTCGGATGTGACATTTCCCAACTGTTCCTCCTGGGTTACTTTCCACCAGAACAATTTCCCCAAACCCACTCAGCACTACGCCTTCTGAGGTTGTTGTGCTGTAAGGAAGTGTGACTCAATGGAGCAGTGCTGCGGTGTGTGCTAGGGCTCATTGGCTGCCAGTGCTTCGTTTCCTTCGCAAGCAGAATTGTGGAAGTACTGTGGTGTCAGGAGCACGACTGTCCTATGCTTTGCTCACATCCTTATTTTCAATGCTGGAGAATGTACCAGTTTGCTGTCCTCCTGCTTACAAAACCCGGACAGGTTTCCATTGCCTCTTTGATGCCTTTCTGTACTGGTTTTGAGCTACTGTCCATGTCCCTGTCCTTTGCAGGGGAGTTGGAGTAGATGACCTCTTAAGTCCCTTCCAACTCAAAAGATTCTACGATTCTATGCTGAGGATGCTAGAAATGTAACGAAAATGCAATATAGTCCACTGATACCAACAGTTCTTCCTAACAAGAATCATAGAATCCCCAAAGTTGGAAAGGACCCCTGAGATCATCCAGCCCAACCATCCACCTAACACCAATATTTCCCACTAACCATATCCCTTAGTACCACATCTACACGTTTCTTGATGAAACTGATAAGAGAGATTTCTGTATTATTTCTGACGTAGAACCTTCCTGATGTGGATCTTCGTGTGTTCTGCCCACATGGGTTGCTTTTCTCACAAAGAAGAGCTAAGGTTTGGCCTCACTTCTTTGTGCATAAACGTGCATATGTATGTTTTCTGTATGTGTGTTAACCAGGTGGCGTGTCTGTGTGTGCACCCCAGGAAAGTAAGTGATCCCAGACTTCTGCCTCTTCGTTAGTCCAGAACCAGGCAGTAGGAAACCACGGAAATGAACTTTCTGCATTTGAACAATGATTTTTGGGGGGAAAAAAAAAATAAATCAGGTCAAATTAACATAATCTTTAGAATTACATAGCATAGCAGTGTTGAAACACTTTTTAAAGCCTCAAGAGACAATTGATAACTTAATTCCCATCATCACCAAAATGTCGAAAGATTCGTCCGCTGTGGCATAATGGCTTTGTTAGCAGGAAGGAACGTGTCTGGTTTCCACCTGCAGGCAATAGGTGCAAGCAGTCTTCCAGCCAAGCTGGCAGCATTTCCTTAGGGAGAGGAGGATTTCCAATCTGTTCTTTTTCACCGTTTTCCCCTTATTTCTGGTATATTTCTGGCCTAGCCTGTGTCCCCTGAAACCACAGAGTACAAAGAGTTTTTTGGTCTAATCAAAACGGAAAAGAGGGAGGCAGGGGGTGGAAGAAGAGAGGCCTTTCTGCATCCAAAGCTCGTGTTTGTAGGCGAGCTGCCCACAGAATGTTTTCATGGAGTTATCCTTTTGAGTTATTGGAGATAACCTGTTCTGGGTTCATTTTTCCCTGCTGAAGCTATCTAACAGAACAATCTCAAAGGGCTGCATTTGCTACTCCGCATGCATGGTAAGTTACTCATTTTGAGCAGCTTCCAACGACAGGCATCTTTTGTACTTGCTTACATACAGTATTTCTAGTTGAGCTGTGTTCAGACATGACAGGGAAATGCAATTCTGCCTCAAAGAGTTTATCTTTGAGTGATGATAGACACTGCTCAGCAAATACGAGCCGGAGCAGCAGATACAGCAAATAGGAGAGGACAGGTAATGCAGTATGTAGGTAAGTGGTGTAATGTGGTCATTATTCCCCAGCCCTGGGGTTCAGTGAGCTCCCTGCTGTGCCCAGAATCCCTCCCCAGCCCCCTGAGGTCCCTGTGTAGAGCACAGGGTCCATTTAGCAGCTGCTCCTGCTGGACAAATCAAAATCCCATCTCAGCACTGCTGTAGACTTGACCTACAAAGGCATGCTGAGCTGATAAAGTGGTTTTACAGCGTGGAGGTTTTGGGGGAAGATCACAGCTAAACTTTGCAAAGCTAACATACTTCTTTTTTCCAGGAGAAAGGAAAGCAGAACAGTGGTGAAGTTTCCAAAACAGCACGACCTTTAAAGCTTTTCCTCTGCCACTGTTGCTTTGCTTCAGTGTAGGTGCTTGAAAAGATTTCTTGTGTGACAGTTTGATCTTTTTAGTATTTCCTCCAACTGCATTGATATTCTGACCATCCTTTGGTGTTTCAGCTGTTATCGCTGGCAGGCCCTTTTTTTTATCAGTCCAAATTGTCCTTGTGGCTTTGTTCATTAAGATGTACAATATGATACAGCAGAGCAAACTGCATAATTTGAATTAGCCCTACAGACGTTACTTGAAATGCTGGTATTGGACAGCTGTTGTTTCCTGGGAGATAAAGGTTCTTAATAATAGCAAAGCCCTCATCTTTGGGCAGAACGTAGAATGGAGTGCTTCAGCTTGCTATTTCCAGCATTGTTTTGCTGCCTTCTGGACTTGCTTAGCACACACACCTCCATAGCCCAGGATCTACAGAATTACCTGTATATACAAATGTGCATTTGTCACACTTTGTCTGCACATAGATCTTGCAGGTGTCTTGGCAGATGTTTCACTAGAGACCTGGAGGTGCAACACACGCACGTCACAACTGTTTCAAGCCTTGCACTGGGTGCTGCTGCTGCTGCAAAACCCCGGCTGTCCACCTTGCAGCAGTGCCAAGCTGGCAGGTTTCACAATTATTACATGTCCATAGTGCAGTTTAAAACACTGTGTTAAAACAAAATCCCTTAGGATGTGCAGTAAATGGGCTGGCTGAGCTCTCCCTTCTCCCTGAGGGGCCGTGCATTGCCCTGTGGCTGTGAATGGGGGCAGAGGTTGCTTTGTCCCTGCTGGGCAAGAGCTGTGGAGATGCCAGCTCTGTATGATCCATGCAGAACAGGTGGTTTTGTCCCATTTCAGTGACCTAAGAAATAATAATGTGTAGATATCTGAAAATATTGAGAGGGAAACGACGCGATGCGTTTTCACACCATGCGGTCACATGCACAAAACCTCCCTAAAATGTGGAACAGGCCGATTTAATCCTCAGCAGAAATTATTTGTTTGGGTTTTTTTTTTTCTGATTATCGTTGGCTGCGTGGAAGAAAAGCTGCTGGGTAGGATTTATTCCAACAGCAATCCGAAAAGAGGGCGGGTGGGAAGAATGCAAGAAGTCATTCTTTGCACCAGTTACCTTGCAGTGGGTTGGTGGAAGGTGAAGAGGCGACGTGGGGATTCCTGAAGTACCCACACACTTCTCAGGCTTGATACCTCATCAGGTATGGTTGCTTGTCTTGGTTCTTGGTGGAGGTGTTTGCACAGCCTTTGTGTGGCTGCAGCAATCTGCACACAGGCACTTGCAGTTCCCGAAGAACCCGTGTTGGCCTTCCCCCAAAATGGTGTCTAGGTGTGGTTTTCCCTTACGCTGCATTCAGGGATTGAAATAAGAACCAAACCCTTGTAGATCTCGATGGAAGACGTGCAGAGGCGTAGTCTGAGCTGCAGCACTAATTTAGGAGTATTTTTGTTCTTGTCACACACAGCTTCCATACAGATTGTGATTATTTTTGTGAAACATCTGGTCTGCAAATCAAACTGTCTCTGGGGTGCATTGCAACATGCCCATGCACAAATGCTTTCAGCACAAGCTGAAATTGCTTTACAGAGGCTCTTCATATAGGATCGTACCACAAAGTAGGTTTTCATCCATCCTTCAGAGGAGTGTTGGAGATGGGAAGGATCGCTGTGGGTTTGCACACTGGGGGATGATCTGGGGCTTCTTTTGCCCCTCACCGTCCCGCAGTGTGAGTGAACTACAATATGGCTGTTACTACAATATGGCATTTAACAGGGGCTGGCAATCATTCGGAAGGTTTGCATGGGTTTGTTTGTTTTTACTTGCCTGAAAGCTTTGAAATGAAGCAGGAATCTTGTGATACTGCTGTGAAAACGGGAATGTGAAAAAATCCTGGTCACTCAATGTGAAACAGCATAGAAAATCAGAAAGGATGAGCGCTCTGCAAGTGGGTGCTCAGCCTGCATTTGGTTAAGGAATCAATTTAAAAAGCACTGCATTGAGTGGGTCCCTGTAATTATGAATGCCTCTTGAAGATTTTTAATAAGAGTTCTGCATGAAAGGTGCATTCTGCCATTACTTTGGGTCGGTGCTGCTGTGATGCTCTTTGCAATAGCAGCGTGCTTTAGGCTGTAGCACTACGGTTCTCACGGGAGAAAGCAAATAAGCCTTCAAGTTTTGTGAATTCAATTTTGCTGCGAGGATTTTAATTTCCCTCATTGTGTTGGAGGCTGTGGACTAATTATGGGCTGGTTGAAAGGGTCCAGTCCGTCACACTCAGTGAACAGTTGTAAGTTGGAGAGAATCCATTTGAAAAAATGAGAAGGCATAACAGTGGAGCTCATAACTCAACTAAATGTTGCCCAGATGCCTTCATGCAGTAATTTTATGAATGTGTGCATCTATATGTGTATGTGTGTGTGCGGCTGCACAGCCCTTAACAAAGTGGTGAGTGCCTAAAAGTTGGATCATGCTTGAGTGTTCTTATTTGGCAGATGACTCCATCCGTATCACAGCACAATGTATGTTACTGTCTTCATTCACTCAGGGTCTGGCCATGGTGGAATCTGTTCTTAGTGCCAGTACTAAAAAGAGGTCATTAAGAAGAGAAACGCAGAGCTTTGCGGAGGCCCACAGTTCCTTTCTTGGGTTACCTGTGTAATTATGATTCAGTCCTCTAATGAATTTCTGTACAGGCAGACTTTAAAGGACCGTCCTGTTGTTTTTACTCTTCATACAGCAAATTTTGTTGAGTCTTCCTGGTAGAAATTAGGAAAAGAAGCCTTGTCCTTGTCATCTTTACCTTAAGGTGAAAAGTGCCTAAGTGGATGGAGCCTCTTTGTCTCTCTGCTTTTCTTCATCCTCTCTGCTTTGCTTTGCCACGTCTTGTAAAGCAGCCCTCGTGCAGCACCAGCTCATTTGAAATGATAAGCATCACCTTTGTGCAGTTCACACCTGTCAGTTCGGGGCTGGCTTTGCTAAAGCTCAGCAAAGTCAGAATCGCACCGCATACGTTGTTGTCACTCCATGTCAGAGGAGGAGAGGGGAGATGGTTTTTTATCCACGGTGTGGGGCAGAAGTCTGATCTGCAGAGGTCTGTATGTCTGGTCTGGCACATAAAGATGGCTATTCTTGAAAATGAAGTAACGGTGAATGGCACGTAACTTGAATTTGAAAAAGCTGGTCTCAGGTTAGCCTATCTGTCTTAAAATTCAGGGCTGTCTTAGCAGCAGCACTGCAGGGTCTGGAATGTTCCTTCTCACATAAGGCAGAGCAGCGGTGGAGCTTGGCGCACGCACAGATTTGTGTGTATTCATTAATTTCATACCAAAGCAACAATGACAATTTTTCTCTCCTTTGCAATGCAACCCCTGTAGTAGCGTGTGTGTGTTGGGGGGTATTTGCTTTGTTTTAACGTGAGATTATTCCTTTGGAGCACTGTGTATGTGCAATCCTTCTTAAAGAAGACTCTGGGATTGACATGGACATCAGACAACTCATGCTAAACTTTATCTGGTCTGTGTTCCCTATTGCAATCATCCAAACCATTTGCTAATCATAACTTTGTCATTCCAGCTGCAGCCAACATCTTGTTTGACTTGGATATTTGTTCGCACTTACAACTGCTTGAGAACTTTATTTTTTGTAACCTGTTGGTCTCTGTCCCCAGATGGGGAAGCGAGATGCACTGTCCACTTTGCACTCCTTCTTGACTAATATCTCTTCCAGCACGTGAACACAAGTTTGCTTTCAGCAGATTTTCTATTAAGTGTAAAAACTGACATAACCTTTTTGTTTCAGGAAGACAGTAAATTGAGACTATTTATAGATGCCAAGATGCTATCTCAGGAATTAATACTCAGTTTTATAATCCTTTCTAAACGCAACTTCCCCCTTCACCTTCACCACCATTTTCCCCTTCACCATTTGCTTGGTTAAAATGAGGCATTATTTGGGGATTGCAACTCGAAAACAAGGAAGAATCCCACTCTTGTTCTCATCTGTGCTTTGGAAGGCTTCCCTTGCAGCCTCCACCAGAGTTCCCAGCAGGAGAACAAGTGCTAGCATATTTAAGTGTGTGTTAGATTTGATTGCCAAGATGAGAACAGTCTATGTTGGCAGTGGAAACAGGCTAATGACAGCTTGATAATCTGTTATGCAAATCTTGGTGTAGTTTGTTAAATTGTGCAGGGTTTATTTGTTTTGCTCTGATAATTAAAGCATGTAGACCTTGTATCTGTGAGCATTGTGTATACCTTGTATGGCTCTTGTCCTCACTGGTGCTTCAGAAAACCAGACTAGGGCTGTCCTCAGCTAAGTTAAAAAAGGAACGAGTCCTCATTTTTCCACTGCTGCTTCTGAATGTGCAGGAAGGCTGCCCTTCCCAGGGTTCTCCAGACAGCATGTTAATTAGGGGAAATGCCGATGTGAATTGTCTATTGTTGGTACAAAACTGAAGTTCCAGGCTAGTTCACAGAAACACACGTGGTAGAGTGCTTCTCTACATGATTTTGTTCATTTAAACGTTGCCTGCATCAAACCAAGTGGAGTCCTGTGAAGCCCCATCTTTGCTGTGGATGAACACATCTGGGTTTTACTGTTGGCTTGGTAGGTATTTGCAAGGTTCTGGTTATGTCCTGAAAAATCATCCCTTTAAAACAAGCAGCCAACAGGTCTGTCTGTGTACGTTCCATCAGAGAAGAGGAGAATGTGTAGGACTAGATGAAAACTGAGTTACAAGGTAACTAAGTAAGCCAGGACTCCAGATAACGTGACTGAAATGTGATTTAGACCCAGTGGTATCTGAAATAACACAGGGCACTGTCAGGATGGAGTTCTCTAGAAGATCTTCTCAATTTGGGTCAGTCTCTAAAATTGTACATTTCAAACACCTATGAAGGGATGAAACCCAGTTGGCAAGGTAGCACTTCCAAGACATTTCCCATGACTTGCAATGTCAGTGGAGTAAAGTAAGCTTCAGACTAACAACCACCAAAAATCTTAAATATATTATAGCATAATAATCTCTTAACCACAGTAAAAGTGATCATTGCAGGTTGTGACCCAGTTAAAGTCAACTCCAGAATGTGTTTCACAGTATAGGAATGGGTGCTATCTACCTGCATTCCAGGACAGCATGCTTTGCACTGAAAGGGTGCTGCATCTGATCCAATGCAAAGAGGCCATGTACACGTGTAGTGTGCTATGAGATTCTTTTTGTTTGCCAGCTGTAAATATGGCCTGGACTCAGGGTTTTTTAGGATGCTTGGAAGTGCCCTGCGTTGGGTGAAGGAGGAGAAGAAACTGAAACATTCTCTGCCCCCACTGGGTGCCCTGACGTGGAGGCTGGAGGGGGGATTTTGGGGCAGGCAACGTTTGAATGCATATAATCTGTATTCCAAGTGTTAACTCTGTGTGCTGCTCCTGAGCTTCTGTTTTGGTACTTACCAACAGAAGAGTTGGTGTTGGTGTTCTCCCCATCTCATGTTCCCCTGACTTTGCAACCACCAGTAATTGTTCTGGCAAGGTCCAGGAAAAAAAAAATAAGACAAATTTACTGTTTTCCTCAGGCTCATAGCTTTTGAACTCGAGGCATGTCTTCTAAACAGTGCAACTCACTTCAAATGCTTTTTGCCTTTCATTTTATTATTGCTTGTCACGCAATGTTCTTTGAAAGCTTGCTCATATATTATCTGTTCCATTTTTTCCATTTTCCCTTTTTTTGCATGCTGTTCCTCCTGTTTCTTCCCTTCCTCCAATCCTCTGTTCCCGTGTGTAGACACAACGGCGACGACAGAACCAGCAGTTCACGGTTGGTATCACATTCCTGTTTATCTTATTTCTCAGCACTGCTGAGTGGCAAGACAAGCCTGGGAAGGGGAAGGAAAAAGAAAAAAAAAAAAGAAAATGCAGTCTTCAAGGGAAAACCACGTTTCAAGTGAACTGATCTCATAAATATCCCATCATTTTTAAGGCTTGAAAGTCTGTCTAGTCTTGTCATTTCAGTTGTGAGTTTCATAACCAGTTGTCCCGGTTCCAGGCCAGCACTGATTCCCAAATGCAGTAGAAATGACACACGTGAAAGAGGAGCACAGAGGGAGCAAGTGACCTTTTTCAGTACTCTTGATTACTGAGGTCATCGTTCTGGACTCTAAAATGAAACCTGGCTTGAGAAAATAGGAACTGAAATTATTTTTTTAAGCCATGCGTGAAATTTTCGGCGTTTTTCTTCTATTTCAAGTCCGTAAGAAACGGCCTTCAGGAGCTGCACCCAAGCTGAGCACCATGCTTGAAGTTCTGCGGGTGCTCGGCAGCTGAGCCCCTCACCTCAGAGATCAGGAGGGAAGTTTTTGTTATTACACTGCAGAAGGAAATTTTACAAACAAATAGCAACACTTTCTTATCAGCATAGCAGTCTAGCAAACTAACCCTTCTCATCTGCTCAGGGAAGTCTAGCTAACAGCTTGACAGCTTCCTTAGCTTCCTACATTTTCAAAGTAAGCCTAAACAGTCACTTCAGACTGAAAGTTGAGCATACAGTTTTTTGGCACAAGCTCGCTTTTCAGCTGAAGAATCAAAACCTCTGACGATTTTAATTGACTGAACCATATTTGTGTTTGCTGTTTTCTTATCGTTCGCAAATCGACTGTTTCTGTTGCTGACGTGAAATGGTGGAAGCCAAAAGTCTGTGGTGCTGAACAACTTTATCTTCTTGCCTCCTTCCAGCAAGACACATCTTGGGCAATATTTTGTGGATGGAGGACTGAGTAGAGCTGAGTAGTAGTCATAGTGGTGCCCCACATCAAATTGAGGGAAAAGCAGTTTTTGTTCCAAATAGCTTGCCTACATGGATGCATTTTTCCACTTTATGTAAAAAATGAAAGCATTCAAGCTTGCTTCTGTTTTCTGTACGTTGCTGATCTCCCAGTTGTTTTTAATGTTGGGGTTCAACATCATGAGTTTGTAGCTACAGCCGTGGAAGTCAGAGCAAGGTAATAGGAGTCTCAAGTGACATCTCATCACGTGCTACCCTAAGGCCCATGAAAGTCAGATGAAGGCAAAACGTTAATCACCCCATCATTACCCTAGGGGAAAAGCCTTCAAGGCTTTTGGAGGCATTGAAAAAGACAGTGAGTATGGTTTAATTAAGTAACAGCTTAAAAGAAGAACTTGGTAGTTCTTGGTAATTGATGATAAAATATGAATAAAATTGCAGGAAAACACAGGTTAACCATTTAGCACTTTTCGTGTAGCTGGGACTGTTTTCCACAACGATAGAAATTAATGGTGGCTGGTGTACGTAAGCACTCGGTGAATGTTACTTCATTGACTCTTCTGCCCTTGGGGCTGTGCAGTGGGTTTTGCCATCAGCTTTTGGCCATTGCCATGCACTGAGCACAGACCTGGCGTGGGGCAGGGGCTGCCAGAGCAAAGTGCTCCCCACCAGAGTGCCCACCTGGTTTTTAAGCACAAATCCTGGTGGCTTTCGTCTCTTACTTGTCATAGCCATACAAATAATGCTTTTTATTTGAAGAAGGTCAGAGCCCTTCTTCAAATAACCTCTACGAGGGAGGACTGCTTCTGTATGAGACTGACAACTGAAATGACAAGCAACCCGAAGCAAGTTAGCTCTGGCAAACTTTCCTGCCTTAAAAATCTAACCTGTTTTGTACTAAACTTCACTGCCTTTGCCCTCTTGGGTTCTTTTCCTGCGAAGACTCTGGGATTTCTTTCCAAGCTTGTGTTGCTGGAGTGTGTATGGGTATACCAGGTGTTTATGTACGTTGGCCATTTGTTCTTACCAATGTCCAATCGGAGGGAGCATGTATGTGAATGACTAGAAATGCATGGGCATGAACTAAAGCCAAATGGATTTTCTCCAAAAACGATTTCAAATGATTTGGGGGAAGAAAAAATCAACAACAACAACAACAAAAAAAAGTCCAACAACCAAACCCAGAAAGATTGATAGAAAAGAAAATGAAATGTAAGGGTAGTATGGAACCAGCACAATACTTCAATCTGGGAAAGGAATTTTGAGTCGTTTCATTTTTTGGAGTGTATCCTAGAGGACTGGGGGGAAAAGGAGTCCTGTATGTGTATGCATGTGAAAGCGGTAGCAAAACCCCTGCCATTCCTGTTCTCTGATGGAATGGAGTTAACAGCAGCAATGCATGAGTGACTTAAAAGCACGAACATTGTTAACTCTTCTTCTGTTTGAAAATGAGAGCTTAACTGTAAATTTTCTGATGCACTTTCTCCTTTCTCTGCACTGTTCATTGCCAGAACTCCAATAACAGCATGGTCATGGCCGGCAGGAAGGCTTGTGCTTCTGCTGCACTGCACTACATGGGGTTACTGAGCGTAAACCCTCCTTCCCTTCTCTTTTGCACTTCACGTGTCAGGGTGCCAGTGGGCTGACGTACCGGCGCACCACGAATTCGCAGCTCCCAGCCTACATGCAGGCAAATCGAGGGCAGGCATTGGTGTGGCAGTAGCTCTGGAAGTCTGCCAGCCCTGAATTTGGAAAATCAGTTATTGTTGGTTTTTTGTTCTTTTTTTTTTTTTTTTTTTTTTTTTTTTTTAACACGTTCCCTTTCTTCCCTCCTGTCCCGCTCCCCTCCAAAGGTCCTAATGCAGATTTGCTGCTTCCCAGATGTGATTCCTCCTTTGCAGGCTGTGGAGCTCAGCCCTCTGAGGTTGCTGCCCTCTTTTGTGTGAGATTCCCCAGCTCTCTTTTTGCCTCCTGTACCAGTAGAGTGCCTACAAACAGCCATGACCTCGTACACCGTGTTCTTTTGCTACAGCAAAAGTAACACACGTTGCATTTTTCCCCTCGAGTTTTGACCCCATCCTATTATAGGCAAAGAGCTTTAACGAACTTCTTTGTGATTTTTGAAGAATGCAGCCAATGCCCATTGCAGTGAGCTGTGCTCCCTATGTGCATGGCAGGTACTGGGGCACCTGTGTGTGCTGCACCCAGAGCAAAGGCAGAACGTCTGCAGAAACTGATTAATGAGAAGATAGGGTGAAAAAAAGTCTTTCCTGAAGCAGGCGGAGCACGAAGTCTGGAGTGTAGGGTAGCATTGTGAGAAGATCCCGGATGTGAGTGAGGAGTGGCAAGAAAACACATTGTCCAAAACAGAGCAGATAAATTGTTTTCTGAGATGAAAATACTTCCCTGAAGGCCCATATGAATTTTTGGTCTTAGCAAGGTTTTGAATGGGAATATTTAACACTGCTGTGTTAAGCTCTTGTTGCTTTTTCCAGTTGTGCTCAGTCTCTGAAATGAGTTTGGCTTGTCTGAAGCTGCAGCCAAAAGCTCAGCCGTGCCAGAGCTCTCCTCAGTTTGCACATCTTGCCAAATTAAACAGCATACAAGGAAAAAATAAAGCCCCAGTGCTTTCTGCGTGAGTGTTATCGAGCAGCTCTGGCTGTCCAACCCCCTTTTTTTGCCTTCCTTTTTAAAAATGCCCTACTTAAAAGTGCAACTGAGAGTAAATAGGTTTCTAAATACAGACCTAATCCTTGGGGCAATTGAATAAAACATCACAAAGATCCACGCGCATGTTAAGATTCCTCTTCAGTCTCGTAAAATTCTCCACATGAAACAGAATCTGGAATTGGTTATTTACAGTTTGATACAAAGGAGAACTTAGATTTTGCTTAAAAATCAGAGGTACCCCGTGAAGAAGGACAAAGCATTGCGTTCTCAATAAGCCTGCCAAAAAAATGTCCATTTAATTGGCCTGACGCCTGCACCAGGCTGCAGGAGATACAACCCAGCTCTCAGGTTGCACCTTTTTCAGATGTGTTCTTCATCAGGAAAGTCTGTCTAAAAGAAGCTGCAGCGGACGCCAAGTGCGTCCTGATCAGAAGAGGAAATAAAGGACTTTAATCGTGGATGTGAAAGTTTTAAGGAGGAAAATCAAGAAGTGATTTACCACAGGTCTGAAATCCCCCATGGAGCGTTCTGATACCGTTTGGTGGCAGTTTCAGGTGCAGGTAGAAACCGAACTGCCAAATGTTTACGTCTTCTTTTGCTTCATTAAAAATGGAACATTGCCCTTGTTTTTCCATTACAGAGGAAACGTAGTTCCCTGTAAGCGAAAGGGAAGAATACACAGGAGCAGTTCTGAAGGCAGAAGAGCTGAACGGCTCTTGCTCAGAGCACAGGTTTGCATGTCCAGTGCTTCTGTGCTCCACTCTGATTATTTTTATAGATTACAGTAAAAACAGGTGGCTCCCTGGAATTCAGCAGCGTTGCAAAACCGAATTTCTTGCCATTAATCTGAACGGCTTCCCTCTTTAGAAGATCATTCAGGCTATAGCTTCAAGATGATATACTTTAAACTCTATTGCTAAAGAAGGATGTCTTTTTTAATAAGCTATACGTATTGCTTGTAGCTTTCCAACAGGGCACAAGTGTTCACAGTGAGTGTACAATATTAACACCTTTGTTTTTTACAAGGAAGCCTTTGCCCTGCAAAAATCCATCTTGAGCCACTGTTGCTCACTCCTCCCCCACGTGTAAGAAAGAGATGGGGATGGAGGATTGCTGCTCCTCCAGGCTCCAAAGCCCCTGGAAGCACAAATAACTTCCTCCAGCATTTTCCAGGAGCGTATTGAGGCTCCACGAAGCATTTGCCTTGCTCTTGAACAAGGTTATCCCATACCACAAGTAAAACCAGAACTCAAAGCAGCACCCATTAGCATTCACTGGACCCATTTTGCAGAACGTGGGTGAGTACGGAGCACATGTCAAGGCACCCAGTGGTTGTTGAGAGCTCACCCTCCTTCTGCTGTGTTCAGTCTCACCAAACGTATCAGGGTTTGGTCAGCTCATGCTGGAATTGTTCTGGTGCTGGTAGTTTGTGGTCACAAGAGTTTGTCTTGATCAGCTTTGAGGATAGATGCTTTTTTTTTTCCCCCAGAAATGCATTAAAACTGGGAGACTAAAATTTTTTTGTCCTTTTTTTTTTATTATTTTTAACAGAAGGTACAGCCTGCAGTCTGCATCTACGATGCCTTTCAGTTTTGAAATGTGCTCCACGATATTCTTGCATTCATAAATTTCCGTACTTGTCAATGTTGCCCAAACCCACTGAATTTCAGTGGAAAATTGGAAGAAAAATTGACATCAAAACGTTTACGTAACCCAAATCAAACCAGAATTAATTGGGAAATTGCCCCTATTTGATGAGTCAAAGGCTGAGTCTGGGGGTTTCTGCATGCTGTTATGAATGAGTGACTTTGGTTCACCTCCATGTTCCATGTGTTAACAGTGTAGACTGAGGAATGTTTCTGCCAGTCTGTCAGTAATAAAGTAAATGATTGGAATCCCGAAATACAAGTTACTTACTCTGCTCAGACCAGCAGAAGATGGCAAGTGATTGACTCATTTGTTTCCCCTCCCCGAGAAATTCACCCTCGGTTCTTAAGTGTGTTGTTTATTGTCACTCGAGGAATACAAAGAAAAATGAGTTTGTTTTTGCTTGTAAGGCTTTACTCAGTTGCCAAATTCCGCAGAGGAGCTGGACTATGGGGATCTCTCAGGTAAGGGCTAGCACTAGGTAAAGCACTGCTGTTCTACGCTAGATACCGGTTCCACGTTGATTTCTGCGTCTTGGCCATTTTGCATTGTATAGTCGCTGTGGTGTAGCAATTAATGGCGCACGGAGCCCCACAGATCAGAAGCACGCTGCTGTCTGTTGGGTTTTCCCTCCCTATTTTTTGGCATTGGCACCATTTTGTGAAGGGAGTGAAAAGGGGATGGGAGGAAGACGGGGTCGCCTTTTGGGCTGGCTGCCAGGCCCGCTGCCCTCTGTGGCATGCAGGAGCTTTTCGAATGGTAATTTGGAGGCCTGTTGAGTTGGAATTTAATGTTTGGAAAACACTCAACTGCTGTAATGTGTGAAACTGTCTTTGCAAAGTGCAGCCGGCACTAAATGGAGGCTGCCCGCTCATTTCTTGGAAGGGGAGTGTCGGATTGGGAATCAAGAGGAGGTCCTGGTTTCATCAGCAAAGACAAAGCCAACAATTCAAACCTTTTTTTTTTTAACCCACAGGCAACTGAAAGCTGCATGGATGCATCTTTATGGTTGATCCTTGCAAATTCTTAATGAATAAGCAAAAGCATTCTCAGTGGGTGACCTGGGGCAATGGGTATATGCAAACTGAGCACCGTAGCACAGTCTGAACCTCTGATCTCCGTGGTTTGGCAGGCTCTCCTCTGGGAAGCGGTGGAGCACGGAAAGCACCGGTGCCTGGTCCCCATCCCAGCAGGTCTCTACCATGAGGTGCACCGGTTGGCTTTGGTCCACCACTGTGTTGTTCTGCAGTTTAAAAACCTAATGCTGGGTATCAAAGCCCTGAGACCTCAGTCTTTTTCCATAAAATGCTTTTCTTCAATGAAACTAACAGCTTCTCTTCCTGTAAGCCACTATAAGGATGCTTTGGCCAAGAGGTTAGAAATGATTGATTAACTCGATATGTATTCTAACACCTGAGCAATACTAATAATTATTATTGCAGGCCTGGGCCAGATCTCATAGGTAAGAAGCACTAGGTGTCTGTTAAATATCACTGTGTGGGTGGAAAATAACTGTTTTGCTCTGATACTCTTTTTTCTTTCTTTATTTTTTCTTTTTTTTCTTTTTTTTTTTTTTCCTTAAAGAAAACACATATTTTGGTGAACAAACAGAAGGATGGGAATTAAATCAACAGAGGAACTCCTCAAAATGGGTGTCTGCTAGCAGCACTGCCTCCCTTTGGCTGCAGCACAAGTTGGGTCTGCGCTGCCTGTCTCCGCCGTACCCTCCCTGTGCCCTCATTCACTCATGCACTCACTTTGCAGTGACACATCCACTTTTCTCAGAGAGCTGTGGATGTGCTGACTGCTGATACGCTCCATATTTTTGTTCTTTTTGTCAATTTGAAATTTAAGTCCGTATTTCCCATGGGCTTCTCACAACGCAGTGCGAGCAGCAAACAGGTGAGCGAGCACCTTTGTGCACTAACAGACACCTATTTTGGAGCATCAATTTTGACTGCTGATGGTTTTTTTCCCCCAAGAACTTGGGTGTTTTTTTTGCTCGTTGCAATCTTAAGTTATTTGTGTACAACCAAAGGATGGCTCTCCCAAGTCAAACATACCAATATTACTGGAAAACAGAGCAGCAGCCCAGCACTGCTCGCTGCTCTGACCAAGTCTCTGCCTTCCATCACATAACTCATGCCCAGATTCCCGAGAAACTGACATAGGATCCCGTTTTGGATTGGTGGCTGCAGCTCAGAGGGCAGCACAGGTGAGTGCTGAGCCGAAGCCCATCCCGCAGAGGTGCGTGCTCAGCCCGCCGGGCTGTTGAAATGTGGTGTAAACTGAATGTGCTGCTCCCGCTGCAGTGTTTGCTCAGTGTGCTGTTCGTTTCAGGTACTGGCGTCCTGCTAAATGCTTCAACGGAGGCTCTGCCAACTGTACAAATAAGTAATGCATCTATTGCCTTGCATCCAGGTAGCTAGTTCCCAGTGCCGCGTTCACTTGTGTGTGTCTGTGCCTCTCAGAGCTGTGCTCCTAACGTAGGATGTACGGGACAGAGGCGTTTGTCTCACACTTCCGCAGCACAGATTGACTTCTGATTCTACTGCAGCGTTTTTTCAGCCCTGTAGTGTTACAGAGACAATTCCTGCAGTGCTGTGAGTGACAAGTCCAAACTGCTTTGTATTGGTGTGTGTATATACGTACGCACGCACATAAATATATATGCTGCTGTGTGTGATGATTGCAGTAATCCAGTTAATCTAATTCCGTACATCTGTATTTTCGGGCCCCTCAGGTGCATTATGGTCTTCTTGTTTGTCTCAGCAGTGTTGATACACATCTTGTAAAACACTGAACAATCAAGAAAGACCCGTGTAGCCTTTACATCTGGTTTGATTAACTAATCAAAACCTGATTAGCACCTTTGTTCAAGGGGTTGCTGATTAATCAATTACTATTGATTGTAAGTGTCGCTCCATTTTCTAGCGGAGGGAAGTCTGAAGAAACAACCAATAAACATTGAGCAGCTGTCATAGTGATTAAATTTATTAAAACAAAATGCATTCTTTTTTATGAAGCGAGCTTAAAATGGGTCACTGAAGAGAAGCTTATTGATTGAAGAAGGATGAACTCCTTGAATTTCTCCAGCTTAAATTAGACCAAATTCAATTACGATACGACGAACAGGTTGACACTACTCTTTAACAGTCCATCAATAAATTAGAGTAGGGGTAGGAGCAGCACACTTAATGCTGGACTATAGCAATGAATAATATTATTGCTCATCCTGCTGTGCAGGCAGTGATTACTATCTCCCAGCTGGTAGATGAGCACTGATGATTATTTTCCAGTGGTTCTGAACTGAAGACACCCTGTTCTCCCTGCTCTGCCCACCGACACCCCAACGGCTGCCCCACGTTTTAGTGATGTTCCTTGATGTCAAAAACGTGGTTCTCCAAAAGGATTCACCAGCAATTTGTCAAAAGAGCAGCCAGTGGGAAAATGTCAGCACCAACCTGGTTTCTGACCTCTTAGAAAAGGGGAATAGTTGGTTCATCCAGCGAGGTAAAGTCGTTGCACCTAACTCATGACCATGAGGGAGGTATGGAGACTTGCATCGTTTTGGTGTTTTAACTGCATAATAGGCAAAGCTTTAAGAAGAAGAAAAAAAGATTGATGAGTTGGGAACTCTTGAAAGAAGTGGATTTAGGTTTTCCCCATCATGATGCGTTTATTGCATCTGGGAAGCAGGGTAGCTGTCAGTGGAGCTGCTGTGTATACACATACGTGTGTGCACACAAATTAAACCCATGTTCTCCAGTGTCCACAGCTTGAAATTAATTTTCACCAAGAAATAAAAGAGAAATTTTTGTGCGAGTGCAGGAATAAGTCTAAATATGCCAGAATTCCTATCTGTGCTACGTGCTTGTGAAAAGAACTCCATCCGTTTTCTGCTTTAATAGCACAAATGGCTGCAGAAAAAAAGTTCAGAGCTGTTCAGATGTCACAAAGTGGGGCTGTAGATCAGAACTCAGCCAGAATTGGCTAAGGAAGTGGTGGAGTCACTGTCCCCAGAGGTGTTTAAGGAAGGGATAGGTGCAGTACTGGGGGACGTGTGGCAATAGTGGCGGTAGGTGGATGGTTGGACCGGATGACCTTACAAGTCTTTTCCAGCCTTTGTGATCCCATGACTGGTAATATCTCCTAAAGCTTTGGTTATTTCATGTCACTGGTATTTAAAGAAATGGAGCCTTAATCAGAAGCAGTGCTGGAGCACGTGGGGTAAAACAGTGAGCCATGCTGCTCAAGGTAAAAGCAATACCAGAAAGTGAGGACTAGCGTGAAGTCGCTCTGGAGTTTTTCAGCTAAATAAAATGATTTGTTCCTAATAGCTCTGAAGCTTTTAACTCAGATGTGATTGATATGTAATTAAAAACTAGCTAGTAAAGTCAGTCAGGTCCAATCTGGTCCTTTCTTTTTATCTTGAGATGCTATCACTTAAAAAGAAGAGCTGGCATATACATTCATATATGCGTATATGTGTGTATATATAAATATGCATATCTCAAAGCCTCATTAAAACCAGAATTGATTGGAGCCTATTCATTGAGTAGCTGGGAGGAGAAAAGCTTTCAGTAAGCTAAACCTTGCTGTAAGAGCTTGACCCACATTATGAGGATATTACTATTAAAATCTGCCAGCTTTTTTTTTTCCATGCTCCCGAGGCTGCACTAAGTGATCTATTTTTAAGCAATTACTACTGCAAAAATGCTAAGAGAATTTGAGATTATTATTAACACTTACTTAAAAAATAATAATAATAAAAAATCCTACTAATCGTAAGTCACATAACGAAGATTCGTCTGGCTTAAAATAGGGATCTCAGCTGAGAATATTCATATGAGAGATAATCAACATCAGTGTCTCCTATGGGTTCCTCGTTACCTGAGTCACTTTCCATGCTCAGATACTGGGGCTGACGAGTGTCAGTTTTGCCACCTGCATGGGTTTGTCCTCAAGCCAGGAGAAAAGTGAGCAGAGCAGCATGGGTGTGCTGCCAAGTGCTGGATGCTTGCTTAGGACTCTGTGTATTTAATGCTAAGGGAGTTAGTATGGAGTGGAGTAGGAACCAGTCACAAAATGTCTTTCTCTGTGTAGTGTCTGAACAAATCACACTTTCTGTTTAAAGGAAAACTTCAGGACTCTCGTTGGGAGTGCTGTCATTTATTGTTGTCAATTAAAGTGGCGCTTGGTTAAAATAATGAACAAAACCTCGTTTAAAAGCTCCCAAAGTTTATCGGCCGCAATTTTAAATGGGACTGCAGTGCTCTCTGCTGCTGTATATTGTGCTGCATCTCATGCTGAGAAGTTCAGTGCTACATCAGGTAAAAATATGGCAGGGCACAGTCGTCCTCTTCTCAACGCAGTAGTTTAAAACAAAAAAATTGATTTTTTTCCCTGCATATATTGACTTACCGTAAGCAGACGGTGCCATTATCACTGCAGTTTTCCTTTAAGGTGCTTTGATATAATCCGCCCTATTTGGATCACATCAAAGCACCACCCTCTGAAACGGGGTCCAGCTGAGGTGCAACGTAGCTGTGGAGTAGCAGAATAGTTGTGCATGTTGTCCCCAACATGCAGCAGTGTCTCTGTGCTGACTCCTTCCATCCCTCCCTGCATCCCTCCCCCCTTCCACCCTAAGAAAACACAAGCAAAACAGAAAACAAAGCCATCGTAGAAACATTCTGACTATTGGATTTAAAGGCCAGCGTGCTCCAATATATATTAACATCTTAATGGGAAAGCTCTGCATGTATACATTTACTACTCTCTGACAAGAGGGAATTAAATGTCAGAAGGATTTGTAGCATCTATAATTGAATTGGTGCTGAGAAAAGCAAATCTTAAGGAAGAATAACATATTAGGATTAGCAAATAATGTGGCATTTTGTCAGTTCCTGCCATCTCATCTGTTCCCTCTTCAGTAATAAAGTTGTGATTTCTTTTTTTAATCATAGATATGAAGCGGGAATAGCTTTTGTGAATCGGAGACAGCATTTTAAAGCAGATTCTGGTTTTTAAGGTCAAGTTTGTCTTTCTTGGCACAAATTTGGGAATGATTCCCCACTCCGAAGTCTCAACACTTTGTTACCGAGGGAATAATGAGTGGCATCCATTACTGATGCTCATTCAATAGGAAATAATCTGCAACCTGGGATTATTTCTGCTGGGCAGCACCCCAAAGTAAAGGCAGTAGGAACCCCTGTGAGCCCCAGAAGATGCAGAGTGATGACTTTCTACTGCCTTGTGCCTTCTTCCCTGTTAAAAAGGAGAAACAATTTGGCGAGAGGGCTTCCGCTTTGAAAAATCTGATTTTTGTGCTATTTTAATTTGCAAGTGGTTCCTTCAGAGAGCAAATCGATGCAACGTAGGAAGGACAGGAAGAGGAGTTAATTCCAGTAAGTGCAGGGGTTGTAGTGCTTCTAAATGCGGTGCATTTATTTTTAAACAGAGCTCCTGCCTGTTTTGTCCAGCACATTCGCAATTAGACACCAAGAGCCATTCCTTGGGTAATTAATATGTAAATATAAATATATCTTTAAAGTCAGAAGTGCACCATCGGCGGCTGCACGGTTGGGTATCGCATGGTTTGCAGCCACTGTGGGGTTGGGTACATCCTTCATAGCTAACCTTGATGAAGTAGGTATTTAGCCATGTACCTGACACAGTGATTCTTGTCTGAAGCTGCAGTGGCCCCAGCACAGCCCAGGCTCTGGTTTTACCTGGTTGCTGTTGCAGCAGCATCCCTGCCCCAGCGGGGTGGTCTGCTTGGCATGGTGCTGCACCACCCCGGGCATCATTCCCATCAGCGAGCAGGGATATCCTGCTTCTTGCCAAAGCAGCAAATGCTGGGAATTGCTCACGACACAGTTTGTTCCTACTGAAGATGATTTAAAAAAAAAAAAAAAAAGGAAGAAAAAATGTCCTTTTTTAGAGGCAGTTTGTTCTGGCAGCTTGCCACAGCAAGTAGAAATCCTTCAGTCGGGGCTCCAGGACGTGCACAACGTTCCTAAATGCTTATTGTTATTTGTCTTCACCAGAAAGCTGGGAAGCATTGACCTCAAAGGCAGCACTTCCCCTTGGTCGTGGAGCTGTTGACAGTTCAAGATGTGTTAATTCTCACAGAGCTGTGCATAGGGCTTTTCCACCAATGAAGTGTATTCTGGGCGGTTTCACAATTAAGTTTTATCCTTTGAGTGCACTTTGGCATTACAGTGTAAGGGAGAATTTTTGCGTTTGGGTTCTCTGGGTCTCATTTTTATTCTGATGGTGAATTCCTGTGCAGTAACTGGCCCGTGGCACATGTTCACTTTGCTGAACACCAGGCTTTAACATGCATCCTGGCTTGCTCCTCCCACTGCTAAGTGACCCGGCTTTGGGTTGTGTGGAAACAAAAGCCGTACGGTTTACAGCAGTGTCTTTTTTGTCCCGTTGAGTTGAGCTCATTAGGCGAGTTCCTGGAAGGGGGTTCTCCCTTCGTTCTGCTCGCGGGCTGTTCTTTGTTTTATCCCCCAGCGTGCACCAGAGCCTGGCAGCATCAAACCATTGTGTGTGCCAAAGCTGCTGCTTCGAAAAGTTGAAGAAATACTCCATGGTTTTTTCTTAAATTGTTTTAATTAAAGTGTGCTATACAGCGCTCCCAGTCACGAGTTATTTACTTGCATCCCTTAGTGCTTCATCTTAGAACAGAATTGGAAATATCGATAGAGAGCGTAAATCCTGGGCTCCTGCTTGAGAGCATTGTATCAGGTTTCAGCTCAAAAGAGCACCATTACCTTTAGCTGTCACGGATCTGTACGCTTGATCGATAAACTTCAAATATTATTAGAGGTGGAGGCTTCAGAGATTTGCTCTGTTCTTTGGAGAGAGACCGGGATAAATCTTTCTTAAAAATTGACTTGAATTTGCACTCTCAGTCTTCCTGGTAAAATGCATTTCTCTTAGGTGCCTGGGCAGCTGCACGCAGGGCAGATTTATAGGCCATGTGCTTCTTGTAGTGAAAGATCTAAATGGTAAATCCTTCACATATGACTTCACAAATCATGTAAAGTTAAAAGATTTTTACCGTTTCTGTTGCTGCTGTGCTTAAATTGTAAGGTATGGCCAGTAAATCATTTTAATGGAGGTGTCGTGCTTGACTCAATAAAAAAAAAAAAGAGAGACAATGGTTTAGCTTCTATTCCAAAATGTTAATGTATTAATCAACGGGAGAATAATTGTTTTTTACTACGTTATAAATCTCAGTTGCCATTAGAATTGCAGCGAGGGTTGATGTAGCTGCGTTCTTAAATTAAAATTGTTTACACTGCTATACATTCATTTTACATGGCCATAGCTCATTCCGGGTTCATTTTGGAGTTGTTCCTCAGCCAAATAAGTCATTCCTCTCCTGGTGATGGCATCGTAAGGGAGAGATGCTTATAAAAGAAAACTAATTGCATGGTGAGGAGTTAAATAAATAAAATAAAGCAGTTGGAGGCGATGCACAATTATTGCTCACTATCTGCTTTTGAAGAGGTTTTTATAGTCGGGATTAAGAGTTTTGTGTCTCCGGACGTCGTGAGCTGTAATGAACAGAAAAGGTCATGCTTAATTATGTAATTTTGAGTTCTTATTGGGGGAGATGATGGCTGTAGATGCATTTACAGAGCTCGGTTGATTGTTTCTTTTTGGGCTGATGTTAAAGTGTTTTCACCGGGGCACTTGTTAATGATGTCTCTCCAGAGCTAACGATTCACATTGCCACATTGTACCGCTACTTGCTGTGCCCTCTGCCCGTAAGGAAGACTGGAGTTTGGGGAGTATCCTAGGGGAACCTCCAAAACCTCGTGCCCACCGATGATTCCACATCTCTTCCCTTCCTTTCCCTGTCCCAGCTGTCCACCAGTAGTGGTAGTGCTGCTGCTTGTAGCGGGAGGCACCTGGCGAGGTATCGGCCAGATCAGTTCACCCTGAACTCATCTGTCTGGATAGCTCCACGCTTTATCCCTTCTCCTTTGGAAAGCAGAAGGGTGGCTTTTCCAAACCGGAGGGCGGCTGCAACCAAAACCTTCACGTTGTCTCGTAATAAGTCCCCAATTCTTACTGCTCTTCTAATCTCAACAGATTCTCGTGCAGGTGAGGAAGGGGCAATAAGGAGCGTGGACCATGCAGTCGTCGGTGGTGTCGTGGCCGTGGTTGTATTTGCCATGCTTTGCCTGCTCATCATTTTAGGGCGATATTTTGCGAGACATAAAGGTAAGACAAAGACTGCAACTGGAAAATGAATGGACTTGGCACGTGCTTCAGCTTCCGCGTGGTGTTTTGGCCCTCTGGGTGCTTTAGAAGAGCATCTCTTCTCTTTTACACGAGGAAAGCTGTGGCAGGCAACCAGGGTGCTGTGCTGAGTGTGCTCGGTACACAAGTTAGAGCTGAAATTTGGAGGTCTGGCTACAAAACCTCATTGACCTGGGGTGGTGCATATGTGCCAGGTGGATTTTTTGTAACATGATGGGTCTGTGAGGCTGAGCCCACGTGCAGTGCTGTGACCACTCCAGCCCCTGTGATTGCACTGAAGGATTTATGTTTATCAGCTTCACTGAGAGCATTTGGAAAAGCTTCCGAGTGTTGGAAGTGAACAGGAGTTGCACGGTGGGCTGTCTCAGGCGGGACTGTGGAAACCTCTGGTCCATGTGCTGGGTTTTGTGGTGCTCTGGGACTTACTCTCAGGCTCTTTCTTTCTGGTGGTGTCGATTGCCCATCCTGCTCGTGGCTTTGTTGCTGGCTCTTGCCATGTCACACAGCATACCACTTCCTTTGCAGGTACATATTTCACTCATGAAGCCAAAGGAGCGGACGATGCAGCCGATGCAGACACAGCTATCATCAATGCAGAAGGAGGACAAAACAACTCCGAAGAAAAGAAAGAGTACTTCATCTAGAACAGCCTTGGTTTCAATGAGGTGTCCAACCGTGGACGGTTACTGGCCCTATTTAAACGATAAAGAGACAGTGATATTGGAAGTTGCAACCAGCTTGTGTCTTTTTTAAAGAGAAACGCAAATGGGTGGAGAGCTGTGAGACTGGGAGGGTCTGGGATTTGCTGTGTAAAAATATTCTTCGTAAAGTACACTCTGCTGTTCGACACCTCAGTTCGTTTGGGTTTTGTTTTTTTGGCCAAGTCCGGCTTGGGTTTAGTTTAGTGAAGTCATTTGCAGAAGATTCTGTGCCTTGTTTTATTTCTGTTTGTTTGGGTTTGGGAGGAGGCTGGGAAGAAGAGGGGCTTCTGTGCGTTAGTTCCCTTCGGGTTTCTGTGGTTCTTTGTTTCCCCTTTTGTCCTCTGTTTCTGGAGTTGCCTGCTGGGACCCCTTGGAATAGGTTGGTTTCTTTCAAGGTGTTTTTTCCTTCTTTTTATCTTCACTGTTTTCTGTTCAAAACTCGGTTTCATCGGAGGAGAACCAGCACATTTTAGATTTCATAGTTTGCAATTCGCTGTACCCATATTCCATTTTCTCTATTGTCGTAAAGGCTTGGATAAACAAACAAACGAGAACCTGTTTGTGGCTGCCCGTGTTCCAAATGCTTTAGATTGATGGAGACTAGAAAATAGCCCGCAACTCAGAAAAGGTGCTGCCCGTCCGCGGTGCATCCATCCGCACCCAGGCTCTGCTCCCAGCCAGGTGTCCTGCAGCCCCCGGCGGCTCTGGAGTGCAGGATCTGCCCCACAAAGGGTTTAGGGCAGGATTTCTGCTCGGATAATGTTGCAAACTGCTCTCTGTCCTGGCTTCTCCCCGATCTGCTAGCACAGGAAAAGCCCTCCCAGATTGCCAAAGGCTGCGAGTGTGCAGCTCTGTGGTTCTGTCCCCCTCCGTTGGTGTGGTGCTTGGAAGGCATCAGGGTGGGTGTGGGGTTGGGCGCTCATCCCACTGGGATGGCCCATGTGTCTCCAACCCCAAAGCCATCGCTGCGTCCCACACCGTGTCAGGTCCGAGCCCTGGGGCGGCTGGACTGGTGCAACTGCCTTTTATTTTATTTTGTTTTGATCTGATGGATAAAAAGTGGGAATTTGCGTTAAAAAATTACAGTGCTAACTGACTTATTAAAGCCATAGGTAAAAAGGAGAATTTAGGTAGATTATAGATCGGTGACAGATAGCAAATCGCAACGAGAAGGCGCTATGGGAATCCTACCTGAATTTGGTGAATTACCTTGGATGTAGAGAGGTACTTTTTTTTTTTTTACTGTGTTTATGTGGAACGTGTATGCTGATTTATTTAAGGGTAACATTAATCTTAGCATCAGGTGGGTTTTTTTTAGGGGGCTGGGAGGGGGGTCATCTTTCCGTGTGGTTTGTTGGGGTTTTTTTTTCTGTTTGTTTTTAATTGTTTTTGGCAGAACCATTGTAACGCAGGATCTGTTGGGAATGGGATGGCATGAAAACAAACAAGTCCGTTCCGTAGCAGTCGGTTTTTTCCCTTAATACAAGAAGAAGAAACTCACAGGAATAGCTTTTTTTTTTTTCCCTCCTGAGCAAATTTTGTCGAGCGCAGCTCTTTTCTGAGCCTTCAGCACCATTGCCAAACCACACCATGGTGAGAAGCATTCAGCATGTAGAGTTCGGGGGGGGTGGGGGAGCTTTTTTACTCGTCAGTCACAGAATTGGCATCCTGTTTTTGGACAGCCCATCTTTGTTTTGGAAGTGTACAGTAGTGCAGTGTTACCGATGTAACTTTGACTTAAAATGTTGACATGTCTCAGGTTCATGTGTTTTGATTGGTGTTTTCCGTCTCAGGTAGATTGCAAAAATTTCGGCCCCACACATTGGAAAAAGAAAAAAACAGAATGATAATAATAATAATTAAAAAAAAAAAAAAAAAAAAAAAAAACAGGAAATTACGAATTTTAGTTGTATATTGGTTTATGTATTTTTTCTTCAGTATACAGTGCACTGTTTGAAATGTATTGTTGAGTATTACTTTGTACAGCTTTAGGTCATTAGGATTTTTAAGTGTGAAGAAAGAACAAACACATTTAAAGGAGAATTACAAATGAAGGAAGCGTGACTGATGCTAAACAGCCTTGTTCTTTATTCACCCAGCCTTTTTATTTTTTCCCCTTAGGCCAGTTCTGTTTTAAGGTGTCCATGGAAGATGTTACAATGTAAGAAAAATACATATCCATCTGTTCCCATTCACATTTTGTATCGGTTCATGTATACCATTTTTACAAAGAAAAAAAAGTACTATAAAATATCTGTCTTCTTAATAAAAAAAAAATTAATGTTACAAAACTACCTTTGCCTCTCATCCTGCACTCTTTGCTGCTCAGCAGGTAGCAGACAGAGCTCTGCATTGCATGGGAAGGGAAGGTTGGTGCTGGTAAATTAGGTCTGATTGTTGGGTGGTCTTGCAGAGCCAGGACTCTGATCCTTATGTGTTCCTTCCTGGTTGGGATTCTATGATTCTGTATCACCTGTTTTAGGATTTGGGGCACCTTCTTGCCTTTGCTGATGCTGCCTTCCAGTATCTCCTGCAAGTCTGAGAAGGGAGCTGTGCTCTCTAAAAGAGGTTGGCTCCGTTGGGAAATCTCTGATGCATTTCCCCAGGCTGCTGAATCCACAAGAGCAGTGCTGCAGCTCAGCTCCCCTCTGGGAGGGGACCAACAGTTGGAGAGCCATAGGTCAGAGCAGTGCTTTGCCTTCTCCCAACACCATTTTGTCACAAACTCACCCAATTCTGCAAGGGAACATTGGCATGTGTCAGTCCATTGTAGCAGTTTGAGCAGTACTTCCTAAAGGGCCAAATGAGAAGGAGGAAAAAGCTGCTGGAAGTGCCTGGACTGAGCACTTCCAGTTGCTGTATGAAGCTGATATCTGTCATTTAAAAGATCACTGGTTGGTTTGCTGCATTGCTTTGTTTAGCTTTGTTTCGTTTTTAAAGAAAGATGGCTATCTCGAGTATTTAATTAGAGTTTCAGCATAACATGCTGGTTGCTGAGCACTGTAATAAGGTTGCCTTGCTTTGTTTGGCTCCTGGGTGGGGGAGGACGGTCCCTGGTGGGAAGCACTTGGCACACTGTGCACACACCTGTGCTCAGCAGTGCAGTGCCTGCTGGCAGTGCAGAGCATTTCAGTGGTGGGAGGGACATGGCAACGTCTTTTGGGACAGCCAATGCAAACACAAAAGGTTTTGTTGCCTTGGGAGATTTCTAGCTGTTCTCAAAATTAAAGTTTTATTCCTGAAAGCCTAGAGGAGCGCTCCATGATGTGGTGCTGAGATGGGTCTTGGGGAGACCTTACGGGAGGGACAGGTTGGATATGAGGAAAAACTTCATCTCCCAAGGAGTGGTTGGGCACTGGAATGGAGCTGCCCAGGATGGTGGTGGGGTCACCGTCCCTGGAAGTGTTCAAGAAATGTGGAGACGTGGCACCAAGGGATGTGGTCAGTGGGCAGTATTGGTGGTAGGTGGACAGTTGGACTGGATGATCTTAGAGGTCCTTTCCAACCTTTAAGATTCTTTGCAGATCACACGTTCAGAGCAAGCGGAGCTTGCTGTAAATCCCATGGGAAGAAAAAGGAGCTGGAAATTCAGCTCTGGTGCGAGTTCAGATTTCCAGCCCTGATACAGGGTGTTGTCTTTTAGTGACACTTGGATGTCCAGAACCAGTGTGTAACCCCTGTGGCACTTCATTCCTTAAGCAGAGTTGCACAGCCATTGGTTCTTTACGAAGCACCTGCTTCCCAATGCACAGCACTCTGTGAACAACAGCAACGCAGCTCATAAGACAGAGAAGGAAAGGACTGAGCAGAACACAGGCGAGTGCCGGGTGGCAACCTGGGGAAGATCCACACCAAAATGGGGCACTGCCAGCAAAACTGAGATCCAGAACTGGGAGAAGACCTGTGAGCACGATGCTGGCTGTGGAGGTCGGCTCACCCCAACTCACACACCTGATCCCTAAAGCCAGAGCTGCCACTGAGCAGAACAAAAGGGAACCATGGGAAAATCAAAGCGTGTTCACCTCCTTCAGTCTCCACTGCCTTCCTGCACGCACGGCTTCTCCTCTGCTCATATTCCTGATGCAAGAGCCTTAAATCTTCCCTAAGTGATAGCTTCTCAGG